TTGATATTTTATGACTTATGAGGTATTTACCTTTTAGCCCTTCTATTTTTCGGCCTGAAATTTAGGTTTTGACTTTTCGAGTCTACATGACTTGTACACGTGTGTGTTGACCTTATAGAGCGCGTGAAAAATTGGTTTTCCATGCACCTATACAGTTAGAGCTATAAAATAAATCGAGCCGAGCGGAGTCGAGAATTGACGTTATCGAGCAGAATTAATTTTTTTTAGATACTCGAGCTCGAGCTCGATTTATGAGCTCGACTCAATAAGAAAATACAATAGCTCGAAATCAAATGTTCGAGCTCGGCTCAAGTTCGGCTTAAAAATTCTAAGTGAAATTACCATTAAACGCTTGTGTTATACTATTTAAATATATATAAGGGGTATTTTAGTAGTTTAATATATATATATATCGAGCCGCTCGACGATGTAAAATATGGGCTCGAGCTCGACAAAAGTTCGTGCTTGAGCCGCTCGAGCTCGACTCGAGTTCGGTCAAACTCGAGCTCGACTCGAGCTTTGACTCGGGCGCTCTCGAATTGTTTGCAGGGACTATACATAACAAAATAACACAATATTTTGTTTAATAAAAATGTGTAATTATGTTATGTGGAACGGCCTAAACATTAGTTAGGTCAATTGGTTATATTGTTTTAATAAATATGCATAAAATGTCATACTTTAATTGTTGGAAAAAAAAAAATATGATTGTCTACGCGCCTATTTAATATACTGAAAATTTAAAGCATTTTATGCATTTTTCCCAATTTTTGCTTTTATATTTTCACCCATTTTCTTTTAATTACATAAATGTTCGAATGTAATAAAAATCTTTCTAGATGAAAAATCTTTCTTATAATCCCACTAATGACGTAATTAGAGCAAAAATAAATTAAAATATGTAGAATCCAAGGTATATATAATAGACGACAATTGTCTGTTCCTGAAAGGACATTTGCAGAACCCATAAATTATAAGTTGTTGACTTTGACTGGAGAAAAGTTAGCTTGGCCATCAAGAAACATCAACTTCGATAATTCATACAAAATCACCCTATACATTTTACCTTTTTACCACTGTGTGTCAGCTGCACTAAAATCTGATCACTTATTATACTAAACAATTTATTAAGATTTTAAAAATTATGTTATTTGAGTCATTAAATCTTAAAAAAAAAAAATTATAAAAGAATGTATTCTTTTGAGATTTCCAACGATTTATTAAGATTGTAGAAATTACGAAGTATTAACTTAATCAACGATGAAATTTGTCAAGACTCTTTAAAATTTGAAACACATATTACATGTATGTCAAAACCAAATCCCATAATTCCATTGAAATCCAAAAAAAACTTAAAAAGACTTTAGGGCGTGACCATATACAAATATATCGGTTCAAAACATGTTTTTTTATTAACAAGAATTATTTTGATATAGGTGGTATGATTAGTTTATTAACAAGAATTATTTTGATATAGGTGGTATGATTAGTTGTTAGTGGATTTTGAATCGATATTAAAATAATATTTAAAATAAAATAATTAAAGTTAATTTAGTGTAAAATCAAGAGAGAGTTGATGTAAAATTATGATTAATTAAAATTATGAGTAAATGAACAGTGAATTAAAGTGAGATGTGTAAGAATAATTAATGGTTACTCCCTCTTATTATGCCTCATATGCATAATAAGATTGAGATGGATGTTTTGAAAAAAAAAAATGAAGAGTAAATATGAAAAAACGTAGTGTATTTATTAGCTAAAAGAGAGTAATAATGAAAAATATGTACAAAAATTCCAAAAAAAAATTGATTAATGATTGATAAAATCAAAATGACATTTAAAAAGAATAGGAGGTAGACTGATAGTATTATTTAGTTATATTTACAATATTAAAGATAGAGATTATGAGTTTTAAATGAATTAAATTTTGAGTATTGATTGAGTTTATTTATAAACAAACACACCCTTAGATTTTAAAATGTTTTAAAAATGCCAGTCATAATCCCCAACGAATGGTCTTCAAGACCTTCACACAATATAGACAATTCACAATATTAAACTTCAATATTGTCGCCCCCAGGCTCAGATATTATCTGAGCCGAATCAAGTAACTGATGTTTGATCTCGTACTCAAGCGCAGCTCATTCAAGGGACCTCAAACTTTAAACGAATTCATGTTTAATAAACAAGCTCGATTAATTGTCCAACTTGGTTCATGAGCTGAATCGAGCCAAACAACTCAGTTCGAATAACAGCTTTACCCTCGCCAGAGTTTGCAAGTCTTTCCACCTTTACCCAACAACAAAATTGGGCTGATTCGAAATGGATAATAATCAAAGCAGAAAAACCTTCTCCATGTAGTCAGTGAACAATTATATTCCCAAATTTTCCATCATCCAATAACAAAATCCTGAAGAAAGTACAAATACTTCCAAATTTTCTCTTCTCCTTTCCTCAGCATATCAAGCCGAACGCGTCTTTAATCTTTAGTTGTAATACAGGGGAGAAAAAAGGTCAAAGCTTAAATATATTCGAGTAAACAGCCAACATTAGCCCAGAATAAATCAAAATAGAGTTCCCTATAAGTCATTCTATTTGAACCTGTAAAGTATGGAAGTTGTGATATCTCCAAAAAGGGCTGTATTTCGTTGCTTTAGGATTACTTTTACTTGGTTACAACCTAAAATAATCACGACACGTACCATTTGTTCAGGAGCTCAAGGAGCAGAACAGCAGCAGAATCTTTCGCTTTCTTGACACTTGGCATCGGCTCACCAATGCATTCGTCTGTCCATCCTTTATCACAAGTATTCACGCGTACAGAGAATGTAAATCTTTTAGCGTGTGCAGGACCGCCTTCGTGCACACACCTAAACCAAGAAGGATTACATTAACATATATCTCAAAATTTAACCTTTCCATTTATTTGATTTCAGTCTGTTTTCTTCCAGGGACTAAATATCAGGTGTCAAATATTTAAGTCGTGGAGAAACATTCCTCACCTGTATAGGGGCATCGGCCAATTTCTACGCAAGCAAATGTCATTCAACGTTTGTCTTGTAAAAGTTGGGCCCCCATTCTTCTTATCTTTCCCGTCATCCTCCCCGTTCTCCTTCTCTTTGGCCTCAGCCGACTCTTTTTCTTTCAAAGCAGCAAGAGCATTTCTGGCTGCCAATTTCTGTGCCATTTTCTTTTGGGCATTATGAGCAATGCCAACCTGAACACCGTCAATGTATACTTCCACAGTGGCCAAGTTTCCACTTCGGGTGGCTTTATATTCTAGACCTTCAGCTTGTTGCTGGCATCTTTCTTGTAATTCTCGAACAGGATGCATCGGGAGTGTTTCAGGGGTAACCATTGGGTTCAACAAAGGTTGGAAGACCTAAAAAACAAAAAAAAAGAACAATTTACAACATATAGCTCAACCAATTCCGAAACTTCTGCAAGTAATAACGAACTAATGTGTCGTGAATGCGATAACAAGGGTGTTAGCCACGAGGAGCATGCTTTAAGGATGTTACGATCCAATAAAAATATGTATTCGTAAGGTATTGTAAACGTTTTAAAAGTTCAGGAACATAATTTAGCATGACTTGAGGAGCCAATAATCCTCACAAGCTCCCGTCCCCAGGAAGAAAGAAAAAACAATAACCCAACCTTCCAAACAGCTGCAGTATTACATCCTCTGTCAAGAAAGATAGCACCAGCAATTGACTCTACAATATCTCCAAGAACTTTAGGAGCTTTGCAATCCCCCAAACCAAAAGAGTTAAAGCCAGGTTTCAAAAGTTCGTCGTGAACCTCTTTCACGAAATCCCGAATCTGAAAAGCGGCGGATAAAATTAAATCAAAGGAGTGCCCAACTCAAATCCTTAAACAGAAAAAGCAGAGAAAAAAATATAGAGTACCTGTTTCTCAAGGGCAGTCGACCCATGACGAAGGTGTATGTGAAGGTTATGTTTCACAGCTACACGTGCAAAATTCTCGTTATTCACAGCAGCAGCTCTCAAGTCGGTCAAGCGTCCCGGGGGCAAATTCGTGTACGTGAAGAAGAGGTGCTTCGTGATGAGATGATCCAATACAGCATCACCAACAAATTCCAGCCGTTGATAACAAGACACTCCAGAAGACGGCCGAGACGCATGAGTTATGGCCTCCACCAAATAACCCTTCTCGTTGAACTTGAGGTTCAAGGAACCTTCTAAAGAATCAAAATCGATGGTCCTCAGTACACTGTTGGGAACATCACCAGGTTTAATCAAGCGACTCATATCTGTCAAGTCAAATTCTATATCGATACCGATCCATTTCATTAGGTGGTTAGCAGCATGTTTTCCGCCCTCGACATAATATACGCCAATCAAAGCCTCGACGACATCGGCCAGGGTTTTCCCAGACAGCACACGGTATGAGCTCGAGTCGCTTTCAAGTTCTCCATCTTCGAATTCGTATTCTTCGTATATATCACTGTCGTGGATCGTTTTACTCGAAGTCCCATTAGAATCAACTTCGGACTCGAATAGAAATGATTCTTCTTCCCTGGTGTCCTCATCAAAGATGGGAAGCACACCAGGTGCGGCCCATCTGGATGGGGCAAATCTATCTGCCTGTATGTATGACTGAAGCCCCTTTCCTAATGCAAACTGATAAAGTATGATGTTGCTCACCATTTGTTGTCTCATCCTAGTAAGCTGGCCCTCGTGTTTCTTAGGGTATTTAAGGAAAAGGAATCTACTGACAACCCATTTCAGGTAAGCATCTCCTAAGAGCTCTGCTCTTTCATAACAAAAAGTCTCCTGACATGAAGCTGCAGTCAACGCTTCCAAAATCTGCAAATAGAAATTTTCACTCAGGCAAAATGCAGAATAATAACATTTTGAAAAAAGGGAGCTCCAGATGAATTCAAAAACCTTTGTAGCGGGAACAGGGTATCCAATGATATCCTTAAGCTGCACAGCGAGCAACATGCTTTCAATCCTTCTCATGATAGATGGCAATCTTTGAGCCCCTCTAACCAGTGATCCAGGGAGGGGATGCACATAACAGAGTTCAGGAGGGAGAAAGACATAATAGATCTTCTCCTGAATCTCTTCGGACTCACTATCACGACCTACAATGGAAGATTCACAAAATTCCACAGCAAAATTTCTAGCAAAAAAGGATAAGTAGAGGATTTGTTGCTGCAAAATGCATACCATCCGAGTGGTCAAATCGAGGAGACAAAAGATTCTTGCAGTATGAAACTCCACGGGCTCTAATTAGAGGTTGCTGTTTGAAAACCAAATCTACCCCGTACCTGCAAATTGATTTTATGTGTTATACTTAACCATCAAATATATTCAATTCACTTATAGAATCAAAAGTGAACAATGCAGAGCACAGGAACCCCAAGGGGTATTACATCCTCATCTATTCAAAATTTTGACAATAAGTCACAGGACGTATAGAAGAATCCATAATGAAGGAGACCACACAAAATAAAGAGCACAGAGTTGCATATGGGGGAGTAGGAGGGACGTGGTCATTAATAATGCACCCAAGAAAATTTACGGCAGAAAGTAACATACTTTTGCTTATAGTAATCGGCGTAAGAACTGTACTCCAGAGGACCAAGGTAACCTTCTTTCCTCGGGAATGAGTTCTCTGCTGTCATCTCAAATCGAACAGAATCTACATAGAATCGCTTTCCAGAATGAGCAGCTGTAACTATTTTCCCGACCAGATCCTCTGCTTCGACACAGGAATCAGCCATCGTCAGTTTTCCTATTGTTAAGTCAACCTTGTGGTGTTCAATAACATCCCGTTTAGGTGCTAATCCAGATGCTTTTACCACATCAAACTGTGCAACAGCTCCTCTAATCCCATAGGTAGGGTGGGATTTCTGTTCAAAAGCCATGCCATTACGTAATTTTGCAAATCCATATTCTCTTCTATCCCCACCAAGTGTCCGCTCATTAGTGCCAAGGTAAACATCTGGCCGGGCCCTCTGAAGAGGATTGGCCCATGCATCTGTATTTGAAACCTTATCAACTAGAGCCCAGTCAATATAAGTCATAGGATCTGAAGATTGACCTCCAGCCAAAGGAACAAATAAGTATGCCTTTGCAGTGTCCCAAGGAGTGTTGGATGGTTCAACTTCCACATCAAGCACAATGCTCATCAGCCGTACATGAAAGCTTTTTAGCAACACCAACTGTGTGCGGTAGGTATCAGTTAGTTTTATAATTCACTAGCTTCATTGTCAAAAGGATAAAAAGCAATTAAAGTAAAAGAAATGGTCAATGCACCTGAGTTTCTCGAATTTCTACTGGCCCATTAAACACAAGAGATGCCTTCGTTATCATAGATCGAGCAATGAATAGATCCATCGATAATGATAACACCTAGAAAAGACGGGACATGAGAAACCTTATTTTGAATGGTCAAAGGCTCAAATTCTAACAGAAATCTAAAAAGGAAGAATAAGATACCTCCGTATCCAATTCATTGCCAAACAATATTGCAAACTTTGAAACTTGAGCTAATAGGGGATCTTTGGAGAAGCCAACATTTTCACATTTGACTGAGTACATGTAAAGACGAAACAACTTGGAGTCATCAGAGTCTTTCCCAGATAATATCCACTCTCCCTGTAGAGACAGATACAATGTAAGCATCCATCTAATGGTTATCACAAGATCCCCAAGTAACTATGTAAGTTAGCATTGATCATAATACTCTAAATGGTGGGCATCATTACACTTCTTAATTTATTTGGAAACAATCTGAAAATGGATATAGATCAAATATCAGCTTTGCTATCATTCAACAAATGAACAGTTCACTCAAAAGGAGAGATGGAGGATCCAACCTGGAGAACATCAGCTACTCCTTCAGGATAAAATTCTCTATGCCTGGCAGTTCCAGGAAGAGGATCACCCTCATCATTTTGCTCAATTTTGTTCATTTCTCCACCAACTCCCTTATCTGGCAGCAGCATGTCAGTAAATGCACCCATTTCGTGGAGTTTCTTGCAAGCAGCCAAGCAAACCGCCTGCAAATTTCCAATCCTTCAAATATGCGCCTGTTTGCATTTTGAAAAGGTAGCGAACAATTTTGATATATGAAGAACACCTGTTGCGCAAGGCGCATGGATTTGCATAGAGGTCCCTCCAGTTCCTCGAATGGCGCATTACAGGGAAGTTGAAGCTTACACGAATACTCAGTAGGACTGCCAGGCTTTTCATGACGCTCCATAATAAACTCCGGATGAAGAATTGAATACCTGCAGAGCAAAGAAAGTGAATAGATTAACTGATGTAGCACAAAAAGCTCTAGGAACCACACAGTGAAGAGAAAGAGGCATCAAAACAGTACGTGCACTTGTGCGTGTGTTACACACACACACACATAAAGAGAGAGAGAGAGAGAGAGAGAGAGAGAGAGAGAGTACCGATCGCTGGGAAGCTGGGAGCAGTAGAAGTGGATAAGTCCAACGGCAGAATTTAAGCTTACCACAGCACCAGTAGACTCCACCTGGTACACAGAATCAGCTAGCGCCTCTGCAGAATTCATGCTGCTGGTATCCTTGATATGACTAATGTCAGTCCTCTGAATGGCTTCTTTCCGCAATGTCTCCTCACTTATCCTAGCATTCTTTAAGAAAGCTACGTGGGACAAGTTTTCTCTACAGATACAATCATTAAGTCGTCAAAACTGTCTCTCCGTAGATAAACCAGCAGAACTGAAAACAGAGATCCCCCAACGTAACCTACCTCTCGACCATCAAGATGTAATCTGATCCAGGTTTTCTGGCACGGCCTCTGGACTGAATATAGGCCAGAACAGTTTTGGCAAGATCAAAGCGAATGACAACATTGCATTGCCTAATATCAAGTCCCTCCTCAGCAACGCTAGTGGCAACTAAAACAGTCACCTGAAGCGTAGATAATATTTGCATATAAATTATTGAAATAGTTTAAGGGTTAATATGAGCTAATTGCTTGATAGTAAACATACACGACCATCTTTGAATCGGGCAATCGAATCTTGCATTTGGCTGGTTCGCATTTCTTGACTGTTGTTGTGCCCAATCAAACTTGCAGATTTGACAAAACTCAGTGATGGAAGCTCTTCAAAAACCTGCAGGTGAAACGGAGTGAATAAGTGTTGTATAAAATCTCAATAAAATCCCCATGTCACATGCTTGATGTACTCAATTGACCTTAGGAAGAACTAAGGCGGTCACAACACGCTCCACAAAGATTATAGCACGGAAATCCTCAGTGTGCTGATATTTCAAGAGTATTTTCATCAATGACTGCACTTTTGGAGTCACTTTTCCATCAGCAACAGCAGCTCCAATAATCGCATCAACATGCTCTCCACCAGAGACAACTATAAAATACACATTCAGCCAGTCACGCATCCAGATAGTATTAAGAATAGATAGGATGTCAAATACACTCATCTGAATGAATAACCAAAAAACTATAACTGAAACAGTTGTAGAATATTTCAGCAAAAGGTAAGAAATGTGCGAACTACAAACTAAGTTGCCCTTTGTCCTTCAAAACTGTGATCAAAGTTCAGCAACAAAATGAGAAACACACTCAAAGATTTAAGGATTATCCTGCATAAAGTCTTTGTAAGGAGGCATCACTATCTACTTGAATTATTGCTTTCTCCTACAAATCAAAAACCTGTGGGTTCTTGTTATTCCAATACTTAATGACAGTAGTAGAACTAAAGGATTCATTAAATGAGTAAATCACACAAGATGCTTAAAACAAATGAGACAAATGGCATAAACAGGACAGTTTCTCAAGAAAATCATAATACATAATGCTGGTGTGTTAAATACTATACACTTGACTAGTCAAATTAAAAAAACTTAACTAGACATTATATAGGCAACATATGCTAAAAACTCTGTACAGGTTTCAATCCCGGATTAGGAGCAACGGTCAAACAACTACTAGTTACATGAAGGTCAATGGAATTACGTTTTCCTGGGTTGACTTGACTGCTATCAATATTCACAACCAGGGGCTATTTTTTCAATTTCATACAAGAATCCAATTATTGAGATAGACCACTCAGTGGTTCCCAATAGCAATGCAAATGAGGAAAATATAAAAGAGCAAAAGACAGAATAATTCACCACGACTGTCAGTAAGTTCCCCCTCCTCAGGCTCATCAGCCCCATTCTCCTCTGCAGCATTATTTTCTGTGTTGTCAGTGCCTCCAGTATTATTCTCCATGATAGCTCCTTCTGTCAGATGACATTGCAAAAGGGAGACAACTTTGTGTAAGTATGACTCTTGAAACTTGACGTCAAGTTGATGGTTTGCCCTCTCATCATTCTGCAAAGCAGTCAGAAAAGCTTGTGCAACCTGCAAAAGCATCACGCATCAGACATATGCTTATACACACATAATAGTCCAACATGTTTCTTGGCATCTGAAACTAAAAATTTTAAACCCTCTGTTTAAGCAATCTACAAAAACATAAATGACCTTCGAATTTAACCAATACGAGCTTCAAAGCAACAATGACGTAGCCATAACCAAATTTTCAAAACAGCAAGGCTTCAACACTATTAAAGAAGAAATAGAAGGAAAAACCAAATTTAATCCAAAGGATAACTAGAGGGGAAAGAAATGATAAAAAGACATCCTATAGTAAATATGTTACAAAACCTTGTAAGCACACCACTGTCCCAGTTCACCAAGTGCATAGTTGATGGCCCTCAATTTTTGGATCAAATTAACAGCACCATCACTTTCAGTCCGTTCAGAAACCCCATAAACTTGGCGGAGCTCTCCCTTTGCTCCAGCATCTCTTGCTCCCATGAATTGCCACTTACTTTTTCTTGAACTTGACCGAGCAGCTTCTTCAACAGTCTGTTCCATCTGTTTGATTTGTTCATGCAGGGACCATAAACTAGCTGCTTTGTCATACTCCACTACTAATTCTGAAGGCATCGGCACATGTTTCTCCAGCTCCTTACGGTCTTTTATAGTACAAACCACCGAGTCTAGTTTAGTTTCCAGGTTACGTATCTTTACAGCACAATCTACTTGGCTTGAAACACCTGTGTTACAATTTACACATCAGCACCTTTTGCTTTCAGAAGAAAGTTGACAAACAAAATATAATATATTACAGAAGCAATACCTACTGTTAGAAAATCATAAAATGCAGAAAAGAAATACTTAATGTACCAATGAACATTTAAACCACGTAAGCTTCAGATAAGAAACCACTGATCACAATAGATGAAGACAAGTTAATCGCCATACCCTTCAAGTTCACAGGAGAAGCGGTCATCCCAAAAACTGATGGCCTCTTCTCTTTTGCTGTAGTGTGATAGAACTCGGACATCACTAGGGAATAAGGATGTTTCTTCACAGCATGATGACACTCATCCAAAATAAGAAGACTGATAGCTTCCATCTTTATAATACTGTGTCTGAGTATGTTGAGAAGAATTTGAGCCGTCATCACTAAAACCTGGCCAAGGCAGGATCATAAGTGAGAAAAGCTAAACATCTTATGCTAAGTGATTGTCTTTTCTACATGCTTCTAATTATTCGAATAACTTTAAATGCAACTCAAACATCAATAGAAATATTAATAAGCATCAATAATGTGCCTTCTAAAATCATTTGGAAGCCAAGATCTTAACAGCCCGATAAGTCAAATTATGTAAAAATATAGAAGAGGAACAAGTAATTAAATTATTAAAATTGGAACGTGTCATCTAGTTTAACAGACAAAATAAATAAGAAGTAACACATGAGGCCAGAAAAGGCATACAAAAGAATCAAATTTCCATGACTTACGGTTTTTAATATGCATAGAAGTCACATATGCATGTAAAACATTTTTTCTTGAAATTATTCCCTGCCAACTATCTCTGTAACATAAAGTTAAATCTGCAAATGCGTCCATTTGTACTTTCTGTTTTTGACACCTTCACTTCCCGCCTCTGCCATTGGTACTCATGCTAGATACGCTAAAATATATAATAATTCATCACTATATACACACAATTGCATTCATTACTTCCCATTTGCGAAATGTCAATTTTGAAACCCCACGATTTCAAGATGCAATTCACCTATCTGAACCAGGAAATCATATTCAGTTGTAGATTTATTTTTACTCCATACGAAATATCAGTAAGCAGTGAAAAGGGAGTGTTTACATTCTTTATAATGTCAATTTCAGCTGCTTAAGACACGGGACATAAAACATAGTGTTCTGTTAAGAAAGTCTTAGACGGAAGACGCTTGAGATAAACATCATCAAAAAAGTCAAGCAATAGGTGTTAAATCCAATGATACCTGTTTACTCTCAAACTCACGCTGCCACCTCCGAGCATCCCAGAAATCTTGACCCATCTCCCCACAGTAATGGCCAACTTGAAAACTCGTACGCTCCCGGATCACTTCTGCTTGCTACAAAAGTCAAAATTAAAAACAGAGTTATCTACATACCAGATAAACATCAAACGAGTGTAGATTCAATGCCAAATCCCCACTTGGACGCGCTACCTGATAAACAAGAGGAACTTTAGGCACCAAAAAGACTGCCCGCATTTTCTTGTTCTGTTTTTCCAATTCAGCGCTCACACTTTTCATGAGGAGCACGGCAATTAGTGTCTTCCCAGCCCCTGTCTCAAGGAATGTAATCGTGTTTCTTTTCTTGGCATGCTCAAGAACTTCCAACTGGTAATGGCGAGCCACCTCCTCCACAAATTTCTCCTTGGGCCGGTCCTCTTTCTTCTCTTCTGAGCTTCCGGTAGCACATTTGGTGCTCTTCTGGGAGCCCTTATCATCCCTATTTCGGGAAGATTCCCATGCACCCGCATGGAAAACCACTTCGTTCGTCTCCTTTTCCCGTTCCCAGTAACCCCTCCCCTCCCTGCACTCCCTGCCCTTCCGGCCGCCCGCACCATAACGCTCTCGTCTTCTCTGGCGATCTCTTGTCTGCCCCTCACCCTCCGCATGGTCCCACTCACGCTGCCTCTTTCTCCAGGGAGTCCTATCCCAAATCTTCCTCTCCCTCTGCATACCCCTACCTTGAAATGCCCTGTCATGAAGCTCGGGAGGCCTTTTTCCAGAGTCATTTTTTTCGCCTCTTAGCCCGTTGCTACACTCAGAAGGCCGTTTTCCATTTGAATTGAGAACTTCATGCTTAGCTGCCGAGTTTTGCTGGATTTGATCCTCGACACATGCCTGCCCGGATGAGGAACCAGGAAAAAACTCACTCTGGTTGTTTCCATCATTCTCCTGAAGCAGCAAATCAGCTCCTCCATTTTTTATGCGGTCGAAAATCTGATCAATCCCGCCAAAGAATCCCGGGTCGTGACAGCCTCCTTCAGATAGCGGTTCGGGTACAAGAGCCGACGCCACTGGGGTCGGGGTCGGCGTCGGCTCAAAATCAATCAAATAATCATCACACAAAATATCCTCACACGCGTCCAGCCAGTACGAAGGTCTGCCGTCACCAGCGAGAACACCAGCATCAACTGGATTCCCGGCAGGCTCCGGTTTATCCATAGTTACAACTAACAAAAAATGCTTCAAGAATCCACTAGCACGCCTTATTGTTACTAGATAAAAGATGAATAACTCATTAACACATACCACTGCTGTATCTTTTACCTTGCACAATGTACACTATCCTCCTAGTTTTCGACTGCATGCTATACTTCACAACAGTAAATTAAAACCACACATATAGCAATAAACAATAACTGAATCCAAAAGGGGCACCAAAANNNAAAAAAAAAAACCAGAGATAAGCTCCTGGGCGAGCTGCAATGGCAGAGCGAGAACAGAGGGAGAGAGGAGAAAGCAGATAAGCGTGAAATAGACCGTACGAAGCACGCGAAGAAGATAGAGATACACCGTATACGTATAGAGAGAGATAGAGAAGAAAAGAGCACACCAAAAACCCAAGTTGTGCGAGTGTGTGCGATTCGAAGATTCTTCAATCCACCGCCCGGTCTATCTTACGCCACTCGGCTCTCTCTCCTCTTCTTTTCTCTTCTAACTGCTTCCATTACAGAAGAACAAACAAAAAGGGCAAAAAAAAGCTCGAAAAATCCCTATGATTTCTGTCCTTATACGGATTTCGAGGTTCAGGCGAAGAGATTTATCTCAAGGACAAAAAGGTGCGGCGGAGACCCGTCGGTGTGTGGCCGGGTTCGACCCGACCCGACTCGCCCCGGATTTAATTGGGAATATAATTTGACGTGTGTGTGGGGGGGCGAAAGAAGGTGATATTGGACTTTTTCAGTAGATAGATCACTGTAAATGCATTTATTACTTAATTAAAATAAATAAAGTACCAACTACTTTTTTTTTAAAAAAAAAAAAAATTGATTTATTTT